CGGCCCTGCCGGCGTCTGCGGCGGGGAGGCAGCGGTGCTCCGCAGCGGGCAGGGGGGCTCCGGGTCCTTTGGGGCAGTGGTTCTGCCCCTGCCAGGCTCCTCCAGCCTCAGCTGGAGCCTCCACCAGCCTGTGGGGCTTTGGCACCCACCGCTCTGCCCGGCAATCCCTGGAGGACACGGAGCCACCGGCTGCAGTTCACCACTGCCACTGGGAGAAATGAAAATGGGGGAGCCAGGAGCACCGGTGCCCACTGTTGAGCCATCCTGAGTTCTGCCCATCGTGAGGGATGATGGCCCAGGAGAAGACCACCAGTCTAAAAGGCCAGCTGTGGGGCAGTCTTGGAGGTGATGGAGGCAGATGGTGGACACCAGAATGGGATGACACCACCTGGAGCCAGGACTGCGGCCAGCCTGGTCCATCACACTCCCTGCCATCGCTCAGCGTCACGGAGCTGGACACTGTGCAGTAGCTACAACACTGGCTGGAGAAGCATCATCTCCTAGCAAAAAGCTGAAGAATAAAGGGATGGGACATCACGCGTTTTGTCGACGTTGCTTACAAGACTCCTGGCCACCTTTCACGGTGCCCTCACTCTCCCTCCCCTTTCCTTCAGGTTTTACTTGGGAAGATGAAACTACTCCTGGCACATCATACAGCAGAGTGACGGGAGGTGATGAATCAGCTCAATGTTACCAAAGCCAAAGTAGACAAGAATCAATAGAAAAATGGGTGCACTGAGCCTATGAGACCTGAGATGGCATTGAAGTCCCTCTCCCTCCACCACAGAGGCCATTAGAGAAACAGAAGAGGGTTCCTGGAGGCTCAGAAATGTCTGGGAGAAGGAAAGGTGTCAAATCCAAGCAATAAACGTGCAAAACCAATTACAATTAAAGAGGAAAGAAGTTGTCACAGACGTTATGCAGTCCTGTACAAACCTTTTCACATCAGCACTAAAGAGCATCTGGGGGAATGATGTTCATGATGGTGACCCAGCAAGGTGAATTTGGGAATAGCCCCAGCCTCCTCTTGGGGCACTTTCTCACTCATGCAGGCAGCAAAGCTGGGGCTGGTGGCCCGGAGAAGTTGGACGCCGTAAGCCCACCCTGGTCCCCAGGCTATCCTGGGATAGCAGAGCTTCACCCAGGCATGAACCCATCCACAGGCTCCGACCACAGCCCCAGCAAGCCAGAGGAGAACCTGTCAGTGAGCAGCCTACAGGTAAATGCAAAAATCCCATATCACAGACATTGACGTGCGTCCTGGCAGGTCACTGGAAGCTGCATCACAACCAGGCTGCAATGCACCATGTCAGGGCAGCCATGGCATTGTCTGGCCAAGTCTTGAGAACCTCCAAGGATGGAGATCCCCCGGCTCCTGGTGAGTGTTCCAGGGCTGTGCTGCTCTTCTGGGGAAGTATTTTCTTCTGGAGTCCAACCTGAACCTCCCAAGCTGCAGGCGGTGGCTGTTGTCCCGCATTGTATCATCTGGTACCACCATGAAGGATTCAAATCCATCATCTTAGTTGTTGGCTGCTCTTAGACCCCCTTCACCTCTTTGTGGCCGGGCTAAACTAGCCCAGCCCCCTCCACCTCTCCTGGCGTGCCAGCTCCATGACTATGTTGATAGCCCATCTCCAGGCCTCTCCAGTTTCTTCATGCCCCTCTTGAACTGGGAGGCCGACATCTGGACCCTACGGGGTGGAGAGGCAGCAGCTTCCTTTATGTGGCCGCCCACGCTCTTTCCAATGTCCCCCTCTGTGGGCTTTACCTTACTCTGCAGAAGAGCAATGACAAGCTGATGTTCAACCTGAGGTCCAACATAGTTCTTT